CAGCAGGCAGCCCTCCTCGCTGCCCCCTTGGCTAAAGGGTGAAGGGCCTGGTTTTTCCTTCTTTACCAAATTCACACTCTGAACTTGCTGCGTTTGGCCGCAGAACAGCTTCATTCGTGTGGTCAATGCCGCTGCTACCTTGTGGGGTCAAACCTACCGGGGGAAACTACAAAGCCAAGCAAACCCCAGAGCCAGTCAGTAAGTGACAAACGTTCTAGAAGTCAGTACAATGACGTGAACAGTGCACAGAAACGCAGGGGCAGAGCCTGCAAACCCCCTAATTAGATGAGTAATCCTCATGTGAGTGCTGAAGTCATTGGCCCTAGATCACTTGATGTGCACCACAGGGCTTTTGGAAAAAAAGCCACATGCAATACCATCTAAATGAGGCAGATTCCATGCGGACACATATATTTGCCTAGATTAATCCCCCTTTGCAGCATGTGGGCCTTTGAGTGTCCGTAATATTCCCCTGGTACAGAGTTTAAAACCTGCAACTGTGAAGATGATTGATTTGGGGGAGGAAGTATGAAAACACACAGCTTCAAAACAGCATTAGCTCGGAGTGAGGCTGATGGCAGATCGTCCCTAGGATGCAGAGCACATGAGCAACACTGCAAAGGCAGCAGGGGAATAAATAATTTTAAATTCATCATGTTTTGGGGGAAAACATCTTCTATTCATAGGGGTCTGGTGGGAAGCTCTAATAAAACCCCCAAAATGAACCAGAAAAGCTGTTTTTGAGTGTCCTGAGACTGTCCCTGTGGATCAGCACAGTCTGATTTTGAAACAGGGATGTCAGCTGGAAAATGGGGTTGCAGAACAGGAAAAAGGTTAAACCCAAAACAAACAACCCCAACAAACAATAACAGCGCCTTGGATTTCAAAAAACAGTTTCTGAGCAAGTGCTACAGTTGGATGTTTGCTGCTTGGGTAATCACCATGGGCTGGTTTTAAAACTAAGCCTTGATAAAGCAGAGCCACAGAAGCATCTGAGGCTTGGGCAACACAATTATTTTTGTAGCTTGACTGATGCAACTATGTTGGTCAATCTTCCTTTCAGCTAGCTGCCTACAATGTCTGTTTAATTAGCAGAGGTGGGAGAAACAAACTGTTCTTGTCCTCTGCTACAGTGCGAAAACCTTTGGTGGCCTTTGGAGCGGGTGCTGCTGTTGAGTACAGCCGTGCCACGGCTGTGGCTGCAAGACCAGGGCCAGCTTCAGGGCAAGCTGCTGCTCTGGCTGGAACAGCTTCTGTGTGTTGGTGAAGCCCAGCCTCACAAGAGCCCTTAGAGGCCTCAGGATCTGTGCTCTGGAAGATTGGGGCACTGGGGCTTTGGGCATGAAACAGAAGCTGAGGTGCTGTATGTGGAAATTGTGGGTCTTTCTGGTAAAGAAATGAGGTGTCTCTGATGT